AATTTTATCTACCTCTCTGTGGCTTTTGGGAAGATACAGCATGTGCCATTCCTTTCTGTGCCTTTATAAAAACGTTGCTCAAGTGACAGGCAGGTCACTCTTTCCTGTGTGCTGGCTTCCTTCAAGCTGCTGGCATTAGGAGGGTGCCGATTAATAGCTCTGTCTTTTAAGCTTTAATTAATTCAGTTCCTTCGGCTGCTACATGCCCTTCTTAAAACTTGGCACCACTTGAATCTTTTAGCAAACCTGATATGAGAAGTCACCGTGCAAATAGCTGAATTTGAGCAGAGCTCCTCGTGACCTCATGGTCAGTTCTGGGTAAAAAAAAAAAAATATCAAACAGAAATATTTTCTCTGTCATTGAGCTCTTGGTTTTGTTTTTTTGGCTGTGCAATTCTACTGCCAAGAAACAAAGCGTAAGACCTTACCCTGGAAACGCTTAGAAAAACAAATCAGTTGCACTCACTGCTTGCACTAATGAATTAAGGGCTGCCAAATCGCTGATAGAGCAGAAGTCCCACTGCACAAAGCCACAGCTCTGGAAGCAGTGCTCAAGGACTGCATGAGGGTGTGCCTTAAGGAAAATGACAGTGCCCACAGAACTGAGGGCAGGGCCTCAATGCAGGGAGAGTCTGCTTAGTTTTCTCCTTAGCAATGAAGTACATAATGAATCTAAGCAGCAAGACGATCCTGGTTAGCTTTGCAGCAGTAGTATATTTTCTTGTACTTAATTATTTAAAGCAAACTGTATAATGGGTCTTTGGCATCACGTGACCCACTAATCAATCCATTCACTTTTGCATAATGCATGGGGCATCAATGTTATTCCATTCCAAGATCTCTTCGGAAAAACTTGCCAGTCTGCTCGTTGCTCCTCTGCAGCGAGAACACAAACACACAGCTTGCTGTGCCATTTGCCTTCTGCGTGCATTCAGAGCCAGCTGAAAGTGTTCCCAGCCATTAGCATGTCAAGAACAACAAAAAAAAGAAGGCTGTATGCTGCTATCTTCCAGCCACATCTGAAGGAGTGCCCGACTCCTGGGTGGTGGGGGGCTCCTTTGGCAGTGTAAGGAAAATCAGACCCCCGCTGTGAGGTCCTAAGAAGGATATCAAGGGCAGATGGAGTGTTTTTCATTACTGGTAGTGCTGTTTAATTATGAATTTGTCTTATTCTTCATGAAGGCACACTGGAAATAGTTATATAAACGTATTTGACTGGATATACGCTACTTAATGTTTGTGAAGCACTGTCCAAAGTTTCTGTACTCACTGGTTAGCTTGAAATTGTCAAGATCAAGCCTGCCTACCATGGCATATACACTTAAACTTACATTTGCTTGGAAAAGAGCATGTGAAAGTGTTACAGAGTAGGGAGGAGATCCAATAAAAACAGGCTGTTAAATCATTATCAGCTCTAACCAAGAGTCCTGGTCAGTGTGGAACTGAAATATTTTATCTTTGAGAGAATGACAGTAGGTCAAGGGAAGGGTTAACCTTGAGGCCTGGCGTGTAGGTCAGCTGGACAATGGACAAAGTGCTGCAAGAGGGACTTGAGAAGCATTTCCAAACTGTCTTTGAGAGGCTGTTTTCGCGTTCCTTCTTGGCTATTTACATTCTATCCAGGAACACAAATGCTTGGATAGTTCCCAAATAGGCCACTGGAACACTTGGATGCCCTCCAGGAGGCAAAAACTGTCAGAGCTTCAAGTAGGGCAAATCACTGCAGCATGGCTGTAGCCAGGGTTTCAGTATTCTTTGTTAAAGTACTTTGGAACTGACATTGTAACAAGGTAAGAAATAACGCCAGTGGGCAGTGATAAGCACTCACGGTTTCTGTTGGAGGATAATGTGTGTCTATTTGCTATGGTGGTTTCCTGCTGTCAAAGTCTGAGTTTCCCGTAGTTTCATTTTAATTCAGCTTTATCTTCCATCAAGAGATTACATTTGAAAGCAATCAGCATCTCTGATACTTGCCCATAATATATTAGTCTGCAAATTACAGTGAGACACCGGCAGGATTGCACAGTGCCTTGTTTTCCTTTGTATCGTGTCCAAAACACTGATAGTCTGGAAGCAGCAGTGAATTAAGCTGTGCAAGTGTGATGTGGGATCATGTGTTAGCTTATGTCTGCTCACTTGAATCTTCTTCCTGGGAACTCTCCTTTTTCAGTGTGGACTTTAATCAGCATCAAATGTTGGTCAAGGCTTAGGAAATACGTGGTTCTGGTTGAAGCTGGGTGGACATCTGTCTCTCACACAGTCACTGCATGCTTCTTGGTTTTTGCTATTTTATTCCTGATCAGTAACTGCTTATCAAATAAGAAGTTTCTATTACATCCATTACTGCCATTATTTAATCAATGATAACCTTATAAGCATTTCAGCAATAACTTCCACCTTTGAAAATGTGCAGTGGGTTTAGAGGCTGCAAGTGAAAATGAAGAGAAAGGTTACAAGTAGGATGGATTTATCTGCATTCTTTTTTAGTCATGATAATGAAGGAAAAATCTTTCCTACATCATACAAAGATATTCAACTCAGAAAAGTGGCAAATTAAACAGTTTTATTGAATTTGCCTACAGTTTTCTGTGGTAGCAGTTGTACCAGAACTGTTGTCTTTAACATGGAGTTGGTAAGGCATCCGTTATTAGAAGAAAAACAGATTAATAACAAAGGCTGAGTGTAAGGATCAGGTTTTTGTCATGGCCCCTCGAGCAAAACTTCCTTATTTTGTGTTGCAGAAAGCAATTCTTGAGAATTCTGACAAATGGGCTTCTGATGGCTTTTGTAAAAAATAGTCTGGAAATAACCATCTGTGTGCTGTGTCAGAGTACGTATTCTGTCTGAGATCTGCACGAGCAAAAGTGGAAAGTCTGTTAATTTAGCAATAGGCTTGAATGAACTGTGCTGAGAATGAACTGCAGAGAGGCATTGGGTGTGGTGATGCTGGCAGGGAGCACAAAGAAATTCTCTTCAGTTCTTACCCTCAGTGCAGGGCCGACGCAGCCTGCCATTGGGCAAAGAAGTACAGCAGAGTTATTGTTATCCTCCTGACACTCCAATTCTGCATTATATTTTGTATACTTTCATTCAAGATGAAATAAGGGTACTGCCTGAACATACACAGCAGGGGAAGATGCTGAGCTGCACTTCCTATGATCTGTCACAATATTTGCGTTGTAGCTCAATAGCTTTCCTATTGTACTGGAAATTTCACTCTTTAGTAAGAAAGGAAAAATTGTAAAAGCAACTCTACTTCTGTACTAAGAGCATTAGTCTTTCAGATGTAAGCTGTACAAGGTCTCTCATTTTGAGATGTGCATTTAGGATTGGGGCAGAGACAATTTTTGACAGCTCTATGGAATTAATTCTTCTTTATGACAGTGTGTTTTACTGCTTGCTGTATGTAATAGTTTCTTTCATTGCCACTTATGTCCTTTGCAGTGAATGAAATTCGCCTGTATGACAGTACGCTTTGAGTGTCGGTGGTTTTCATTTTGTCTATTAAGGAAGATAATTGTGAGGAGCAGATCAGACCTGAAGGAAGGCTTCTGAACTGAACCCATTTCAAGAGGGAAAACAGAGCTGTCAAAACTTTGACTTTCTAATTCCTAAAGAGCTGTTAATTCAGTCAGCTGCATGATCTACTGGGAGTAGAAATGAAACTCCACTTGCATGACCTCTGGTGTCAATCATTGTGGGAGGAATCTGCATTTATATTGTCAACGCACAAACTTTCTTTACTTCCTGAAGCATGAAATCACCTTTCAGATGGAGTAAGAAATATAATCGCCCATTCTTGAGAGGTGTAGCAGTTTGGTCCAAGGCTTCAGTTACACAGAGAGATGTTTGAACACTCTATCTTGACTTCAGCATCAACCAGTCTCTTGGAAACTATATGCTTTGCAAGCCGGAGTTTCACCATTTATCTATCCCTAGGAACATACTTAAGGGATGTGGATATAATTAGAGGTTGAAGCCTTGAAGAAAATTTATTCACCATTCTTCAAATCAGAAACTACAGGCCAAGGTTAGGTTTGCAAGGAGGTTCTAGTTCTGGGGGGCATGATGTAGTTACCTGTTCTTCAACAGAATATGGATATAGTTGAGCATAATCCTTTAAATGCAGAGATAGCATGAAAGAAAAAGTGAGCCCAAAAGAATCTGAGCTGCAGGATATGTTTTATTGTTTTTCTATGAATGTTGTGCCTTTCTCTGCCAGTTGTTTAAATGGATTTTCACCATGTAGCACTACAGTTATGCTGTTCAAGCTTTATGCCAGGTGTAAGATGTCGTGCATCTCGCATGACATGCTTGTTAGGTCTTGCTGTATTTCTGGTTTGTTAGCACAGCTTCTGTTGTCTTCTTGACATACTGGAGATGCTGGCATGCTACTCAGCCATCCTCAAATACCTCTGTACATTTCTTGGAGTAATATATGTCAAGTTTAGTATGATGACATGTTTTGCATCTGTTGTTCCAAGAAAGATAGTTCTGGTCATATGCTGATCAGGACATTGAATAACCTGCTTAAAATGCCACCCGAAGCAGTGCAGGTTATCATCAATACTGACCATGAAATTAGCCCAGGTACCTGAACTTGTATCTGATATGTTCCACAGACAAAATCAGCAGCCCATCAAAGCAGCTGTTTCCCATGAGTCGGGGTGAGGGAAAGCAGCCAAGCGAGCTCACACTGCAGTTGTAACTCACCTTTCATTGAGTGATGAGTCTGGCATCTCTCACTGCTTGTGACTTTAAGATGCAGGAATCCTTCAGCCAGACCCCAGGTGTGCAAGCTGGTGACCTGCTAATCTTTTCTGTACTTCAGTGTCACCTGTTCCTTTTTTTTTTTTTCCCCAAAAAAACCATCTGTTCAGCCTGGCCAGCCGGAAAGCAAAGGAACAAGAAGTGAGTTGGCTTAGTAAGTAGGGCACCTTTCATCATGTGAAACAAAGTTGCTTTTTTTCTTTCTTTCTTTCTTTCTTTTTTTTTTTCAGACAGTCTGATTTGGGAATGTGGACATGCTATAGAGAGCCCTTACATGCAGAAACCTCTGCAAAGAGCCCTTCTTATAGCATTTACTGCTAACTACAGGTACCTGCAGGAAGGGTTATTCATGCTGTGCCTTGTTCCAGTGGAGATGCCCAGTATGTCAAAAAGGAGGAAGAAAAGTGCTTAGAAAAAACAGTAAATACATAAGGATAAATTAATATGACTGTAACATACAATTACATGCCTCTTCTCTGCATGCATTAAGAAATATAGGGCTGGCCTGGGAGCTTTCTCCAGTGAGGCATCTAAGTTTGTTTGGAAAGGGAGAGTATAACAGAAGAAATATTTAAAAGAGCAAGAATGAGACTCCTTTCATCTTTTGAACATCTTTCCCAAGAATTTATAAATGAATTGACTAATATTCAGTGATAAAATAAAAGAGTAACTGACTGGGTGTGCCTCGGGGCTGCCCTCAAAACGAGATGTGCCGTCTGCATGGAGCATACCTGCTGTGTGCATCTCCTGTGTGGCTGGAGGGCAGGCTGCAGAGCTCGGGATGCTTTCTGCCTTTAGTTTTGTGTCTGGAAGGTTGGCTCCAGCACACCGTGCTGCCTGTCTGCTGCTGGGTCATCAGAACAGGCACTCTGCCCACTGGTACTGGGATCTGATCAGGACGTGATGTGACTGCATGTGTGAGCACAGGGCTGCTGGCTGCTGCTGAGATCTCCCAGCAGGGAGGTGGAAATCTCTGCATGCTAAAGCATAGCTTTGAGCTATCCCAGATATATTTCCACCGCAGCAATCTGCACTACAGTGCTGTCACTGCTGTGCCTGGGGGTGGAATGAAGGTCTCTGGGCACACAGCGATCACCTCACTGGAGTTTGTTCCTTGTAATGCTGGAGCACAGCCTGGGAGAGCAGCGCTGCTCTGTGATGCGTTCTGGTGTCATTGCTGTACTGGGGGTTAGTGCTACACAGGTGACAAGTGTGTGTGTGTGCTCTAAGCACAACACAAGGCAGGGAATGTGCAGGATTTCGTGGTTCCTGAGAGTATATTCTTGACCAGAAGCTAAACAGACAACTTCAGCACCATCAGTGAAAGCAGAAGGTTAAAAAATAAAAAGGCTACATTTTTTCCTCATTTCTAAATGAAAATGTAAAATATTTCAAAAAAAAATTTTTTTTTTAATGCTTTGATGCCTTTCTTTGCAGATATCATTTACCAACAAGCTCTGCTGCTTCTGCTGTTGTGTTGTGTAGAATTCGTTGGGACCATAAATCTTAAAAAAACACAAATATGGTTCAGGAACCTGCATTGGTGCTCCCTGTCAGACTTTTCAGCTGATTTTCTATGTTTGCTAGTTTTCATAGTGCCAGGTATGGGGTCCTTTATCAGTAAGAAAACAAGAATGTGGCAAAGACCAAAGGCACACTTGTTAGTACTCATTGATCCAGACTTGTTCTAGATATTGAGTGTGAACGAGGGAAATCAAAGGCCCTGTAGTCATTCTCCTGTAGATACAAAAGCTTAAAGATGTTTTTATGAAGATCACAATTCTGAATGTTAAAATCCGTGGGGAGGAGGAGGATGCTTGGTTGTAGCTTTTTGAATTAGCAGCAGATATTGCATGTTCACAATAAAGTCTCACTGACAAAGCTAGAAACATTTCTTAAGCTCCAGATGGCTGCTGTTCTTTATGACTTGCTTTAGGGCGCAGACTTTGGTTTCATATATTTTGATAATCTATCCTGATTATTGAACTAATACTCATAGTTCTCCATGTGCTGCAATAGTACCCTTTGAGAAGCTGCAGCATATGGCTTAGTAGGGGAAATTTCGAAGTTAAGAAAATCTCTATAGATGACATCTCTCATTTCTTAGGTTCCCTTAAGGCTGGGACCTGTAACTTTGATAATGTCTCCTTAAACATTTTGAGTGACAAGATTCTCATTCTATGCATGGTCTTTCAGTGGATGAGGAATAATCTTGAAACATTTCCCAAAGTCTCTTCTAAAGACCACCCTTTATGTTGGATCAAGTTCTAATCTGAACCAACAACAAAAGTAAAAACATATGGAAGAGATTGTTGGATAGAAAATACAAAGGGCAAAGCTGCACAAGTTTTGTGTAGGTGACAGAAGATGGGAGCTGAGAATCCCAAGCCCTGGAGCTGCTGAGCAGTTGCCATAGCAGGGGTTGTACTGATGGATTCTCTACAGTGTGATTGCAACACCTTCAGAATCAGAATATCACATAAAACAAGTATCCACGTAGAAGGAGGAAATAAGGAGTGTTGTAGGACAGAGTACTTTTTGTAGGACCCTGCAGTAGCACAAACATGAGAAAGCTGAGTCCAAATACACATGCTATTACAAAAGTGTTCTTTTTCATACTGACCTTGTTGGTATTATTCTGCATTTACATTCCTGTGGGCAAAAGAAGAAACTGAGTGTGACTCGTGGGCAGGGTAGTCTGAGAGTGGGCTCATCCCAGGGGGCTTATTTAGAGACATCTGTGTTGCTCCAACTTCAGGAAAGCACTTCGAAAAAAAGCATAGAGAGTTTTGTTTTACTCGATTGATCTGTGTGTACAGTTTAGTGCTGACATTTTTCACTTAGTATTCACTTCACAAATGAGAGATGTAAAATGCTTAGATTAAAGCCGAAATTAAAAAAATATATTGATTCTCTCCTTTCCTTCCATCCTTCTTACTAAAAGTTTTTGGCTCTTTTACATTAGTGACTGTGGTCTATATTGGCATTTACGCTAATGAAGAGCCCACGGTGTTTCCCTAAATGTTCTGCTACAAGTACCTTGTTAATAGCTTCCATTTATCCAGCAAAAGAAAAACTGCAATCTCCAACATGTTGTGCAATAAACCAAGGACACAGAAGGGGCATGAAAGTGCAGTCTCTCCCTAACTGTGCCATCCTTTATTCCAGCACAGTCAAATGCTTTATATAGGAAGATGAAACCTGAACTGCAGGTCAAAATAAGCTTGCCCAAGGATCTGTGCTTGTTCCTCTCCAGAGATGGAAATAGACAGAAATGAAATCTGAGTGAGGCCCTGTGGCTTGTAGCACAGTGGTTAGTGGTAACTTTGTCTAGGAAATTACTATCGTGTTCTAACAGAAAGTAATGATACTGCTTGCTGCTTGTACTTCATGCTGGGTAAGAGAAAAGCTTATTAGCAGAAATAAGCATTCTGTTTTTTAACCTACTTTTCTATGGTATGTGATAAAAATGCTAAAATGTGAACTTTATTTCATCAAGTTTATTCTGTGAACAGAAAGGAAGACAACACTCCTGATCCTCCTCCTCTTCATATACCAGCAAGATTTCAGGGTGGCAGTCTTTGATGAGATTCTGAAACATCAAACCAGGAAACGATGGGGATAAGCTGATTTCTTCCTGAGATAACACTGAAAGCATCCCTGCATGTCTGATGGAGAACAGAAAACGAGTGAGAAAGGTAAGACAGCTTCTTTAGAATTAGTTCTTTTGCATTTCTGAAACACAAAAAGCAAAATTAAGTCTTACAAGGAAAACATAATTAAGTTTCACTTGGATAAATTCCATGGCTATAAAGAGCTAATAGAACCAGCACTGTAAGCAAGTGAAATACACTTAGCTTACAGAACTATTTGGCCATCATCTGTACACATAATTACACTGATTCATGTGAAGGTGATGTTTACTTAAAATAAAGATGGGGCAATTATGTTGATAGTTGCTTTCTTAATTTGCCACTGGTGTTCCTTCAAAAAAACATAAGCCACAAAAATTGTAGCTAATTGTGAAGGTTTTCTTGTTGGTGATCTTGGGCAGGTCCAGCAAAGTGGTAGCAGCAGTGCCAGGAGCATAACTCATGTATGGTTAATCTCCCAGGCTGTACTCCAATAGCTATTCCACTGAAAAGTAAAGATTCTTTCCAGAATTAGTCACAAGGAATAATTAATTTATCATCTTCTAGCAATTAGTTTTTCTTGCCGTATTATAATGGATTCTGTGTTCATCATCCAATCAGCAATTTTGAAATGGTCATTTAACGCCTGCAAACCATAAAGATTAAAAAAATACAAATACTAAGATCTTCTGATTAAAAATCCATTGGGTAGGAAATGAGTTTTATCTCAGTGAAATTGCATAGTAGAGAAGAAGTCATAAAGATATATAAAATATATGCCAAAATTTAGAACATCTTTAGGGGACATTAATATTATTTGCATGTATTTGTCACTAATTAGTCTGTCTGCATTTCCCTGCAGAAGGCAGTCTTCTAAAACAGTCCAAATTCTGTAAGGTGATTGTTTAGTTCTGCCTTAGGCAAAAACCAAGTGATGCACAGTGCAGTTGCTCACCTGCCATTGCCCTGCGTGCAGCTGGACCCCAAGCAGTGGCTGCCCCCAGCCAGCTCATTGCTGAGCATTTGTGAGATACCCTTCTGGCCAGCTGAGCTCAGCTGTCCTGCTTTGTCACCTCTTAGTTGCTTTTCCCTCCATCTCCTCATGTTGGGCAGCACAAGAAGCTGTGAAGTTCTTGACTTAGCATAAACACTGCTCTACAACTTTGACATTGGTGTGCCATCAACATGATCTTCATCTTAAGGCCAAAACAGAGACCATACAAACTACCGTGAAGAAAATTCACTCTATCCCAGCCAAAACTAGGATATTTTTATGTGCTGACTTCAGAGTTGCTCTTCCTGCTCATTTGGTGAACAGCATTTGATGCTCCAGTTATGATGTTTGTTAGCAGCTGCAAAACCCAGCGTTAGCATGGGGCTTAGTTTTGCTAATAAATGCCCTTATAATCTCAAAGTTTTCCTTTAGAAAGCTACTGGAGAGCATTTTTTAGCAATTGAGTTAGCTTTCCTGTAATCATGCTGCTTTTCAGCAAGCCTTGAACCACATCTCTCTGAAAGTGATAGATGATTTATTCTTGCTGCAGGAGGCTGCTGAAGTTGCTCATTAACAGTTATTGATGCCATAACACTTCTTGCTATAACGGACTTTCTTTTGATTATTAGAACTTCTTTTAGCTTCAGTTCTCTAGAGCTTAGTCATAGCAGCTTAATCAATATTTTGGTGTTTCTAAATGGGATTTTTTTAAAATAATTTGTCCCATTTTTCTTTATTTACTAAAATGTCTATTGCAATCAAAGGAACTGTTTCCTCCTTATTTTTTTTGCTCCCAGAAAAGGTTCTTTCAGAAGTTTCAGCAACTCTTTGCAATGACCAGGAATATGAAATTCTGTGTATTCTGTGTTTCTTGGATACCTATGTGAAATGTTCCAAGTGCTAAAGTTATTGCAGATGATGTCATCCAACAGACTGTGTGCAAATGACCAGCAGGCACTGATCCTTGCATTGATCTGGCTTTTGATTAAAAAAAGATGTTACAAGGTTTCCATTCATTTAAATGGGAATATATTAGACCATTAGCCAATTTTTTATTTCTTTTAAATAATGAAATATTATAGAAATAGTTCAGAGGAGCTGTTAATACTACAAGCCCTTCCAGTTGTTAGCTTTTCTTTGTTATAAGATGATTTATAATGAAATATTTTCTACTCTCTTGTGATAGAACTTTGTTCTGTATAATTCTTAATTTTTTTATAGCAAGACGTTTCTCTTGGGTTTAAGTCAGTGCAAAAACCAACAGTGAGTTCTCAAGCATGGCATTCTTTCCCTGTGATTTCTGCATTTTGTGCTGCATTTCCTATTGTAGGTTGTACACAATATATCTGGTGGATTCTTTCCTACTTCCAGAGCAGGGATAAGAGGGTGGGTTTTGATTTTCTCATTCTTAATGAATGGAAAAATAGCACTGCTTTGACCCTTTAATTTACAGTCATAAAACTGCCCAAAGCCTACTTGACAAAGAAGGAGTGAAGAGCTTCTGACCTGCTGGAAAGGAGTGTTTCCCTCTGGATTCACCTCCCAGCTGTTTCCAGCAATCAGTCTTTCCCATTTAAATTTGTCAGTACAGATAAAAATCAGACATCAAATTCTGTACCAGTAAAAAAAAAATCTTTGATTAAATACAAGGGCTGCTCTGAAAGTAATGCCTCCTGTTTT